TTCCAAACTATATTGCAATGATATAATCGAACAAAGATTGATACACACCAATAAAAAAAATGAAAACACACAGCGCATAAGAGATCTGGTACGGGGGCGGCAACAGCGTCGCAGGGGTTCCAATCCGCAATAATATTTCAAAATGTGATAATGAGTTAACGGCTATACTTCAACAAAGCTTATCCGAAAAACAACCTATACACTTTATGCCCAATGATGTGGAAGACGCTTTTGAGTATGTTAATAATGTACAAACATATATTTTACGTATCTACGGCCCTCTAATTAATGGACAAAAGGCTAGAGTAAATATCACGGGCATTAAACCTTTCTTCAATGTTGTTGTTCCAGATAATGAACCTTTATCTATATTCAAACCAAGATTAGTAAAAATTATACTGGAGGCAGAAAAGATTGATAAATCAAAGTTTGGAATGAAAGTCGTCCACGCATATCCAATTCATGGATATCACACCCAGGGAAAGGTATACATCCGCATTATTACATGGAACTATTATGATAGAAGACGAATTTTGAGAGAGGTCCGTAGGTATGAGATGGAGACTGCTTCGGACGATGATACCAGTAAACATTATCACTGAAAAATAGCTCGTGAAAAAAAGTTACCTCTTTCCGAGAGTGCGATATTAAGTGGGTATAACTATAATTCTGATACAGATTCACCACATTATTCCTATTCTTTTCGCGTATCTGTAAATAATTATCAGTCTCTAGGAGAAAACAAGCCAGATGATCAGGTAATAACTGAAGCTCTCTCACACGATCGCACTCTTGTCCTTACGTGGGATATAGAAACATACAGTGCTTGCAAAATGGGTGATTTACCTAATGCAAAAAATGACGAGGATCGAGTATTTATAATCTGTATGACCGTTCATTGGAAAGATGATCCCAAACCATTAAAGCGAATATGTTTAGTTGATGTGGAAACAAAGCCCGATCCCAGCTGGAACACAATTGTATGTGGAAACCAAACTAATATACTGAAGGCATTTGCGTTATGTTGAAAAAATTTAACTCCTGATATACAGATAGGTTTTAATGATTCGCAGTATGATTGGCCTTTTGTTATAGAAAAAGCTAAAAGTTTAGGCATTCTTGAATGGATGTTCAATCACATGTCACCAGACTCATCCAACATTGAAGAAATTATAAAATGGAAATATCGGAAAAGTGAGATAAAGATATCTGATGAGAAATTCTACTCAAAGTATCTTAAAATACCAGGATGTATACCTATTGATATTCGTGCTTGCTTCAAAAAATTATACCTAAAATCAGAGGCGAGTTCACTTAAATATTATCTAGATGTCTGTGGGTTAGTTAATAAGGCAGATATGCCCATTCATATTATGAATAAGTATTACGAAGAAGCAATACTCCAACCCTCTGATGTTTCTGCAAAAAATATGCACGAAGTGACAAATTATTGTATAATAGATGTACTGAGATGCCAAGAACTCATGGTTAGATGTAATGTAATCAATGACTATAGGGAGGTATCATCCATTGCATATGTCTCTCTTTCTGATTCTCACTATTTCGCAGGAGGTATGAAGGTGTGTAATCTTTTAGGTGCTGAAGCTTGGAGTCGTAATATATTATGTAGTATGATTCCTCGTGAAAATCCAGAAACTGGTAAGTACCCGGGAGCTTATGTCGTCGCACCGATAAAAGGTCTCGAAAATAAACGTCCAGTAACTGAGTTAGATTTTGCATCTCTATACCCAAGTCTTATTATGACTTATAACCTTTCGCCTAATAAGATTATACTATCCCGCAAAGAAGCTATAGATATACTTCGTGCTGGGAAGAAGCTTCACAAGATTGAGTTCCCATTCAATGGTCAAACTTTAGTTGCTTGGTCTGTTCGCCATAATAATATACCCAAAGATAAAGGTCTCTATACTAGTATATTGGAAAAATTGCGTAATAAACGAAATGAGATGAAAGAACGTCTCCGTGAATTGAATGAGAAAAGTTTCGAATAAACTTGTATTAATTCCAAACAAAATGCATTTAAGATATATATGAATACATTTTATGGTGAGGCGGGTAATAATATCTCTCCATTCTATCTACTTGAACTAGCAGGTGGAGTCACTTCGGCTGGACAGCGTAAAATTAAATTTGTTAAAAAATTCGTTGAGAGTAAAGGGTTCAAAGTTAAATATGGAGATACCGATTCTTTATACCTCACATGCCCAGGAGAGTATTTTCAGGAATGTGATCAAAAATATAAATTGGATCAACTCTCACGAGAAGAGTACTGGAAAGAAATGGTAAAAATCTCTATGGAAGTAATGAAGAACCTCCGTAGCGATGTAAATACTGAGCTAGAAAAGGACAATGGAACACCTTACCTTAATATGGCATACGAGGAGGTCTTATTTCCTGTGGTGTTTACAGGGAAGAAAAAATATTATGATCTTGAGCATAAAAACGAGCCAAATTTTGACCCAGGTAAACTTTTTATTAGAGGAGTAGATATTATAAAGAGAGGTCAATTCAAGCTTTTCCGTGACGTGGGTAAGGAGATTATGAATAGGACTATGAAGGTTGGTAATGAGGAGACAATATATCAGATTGTTGAAAATGTCCTTTGGGAAACTATAGAAAAACTTTCTAAGTTAGACTACGATAAATTTATTCAGACGTGTGCATGGAGACCTAAAAAAGAGGGTAAGCGAGGAAATATCCCAATAGAGCGTTTTGTCTCACGGATGAAGGCTAAACATTCACGTGAGGTAATAGAATCTTAACAACTTGTAAATAGGGGATTCCCTTCCAAAGAATATCTTTTTAAGGCCCCTGAACCTGGTAAACGATTTAGTTATATTGTAGTAGAACCTGAAGTAATTTACGATAAATATGGAACCAAAATATCACAGAAAAAGGGGGATTGTATGGAGTATGTGAATGTAGTAAAAAAGTTTAACAAAAAAATAGATATCGATTATTATACCCAGAGCTTATTTGCCCTCTGCGCCTGTTTTATAAATTATGATGATAAATACCAGCTATCACCCGAATCTCTGGCAAAAGCCTTGGATCGTAAAAAGAAATCAAAGGAGAAGAAATCAAAAGATATTAAGGGTTTATTGCAAAGCAATGACTCTCTGAGTCTAGATGAGGATGAAATAGCAAATGTAAAAGATGAAGAGTCGCAGAAGTTAGCTATAAAATGGCTTAAAAGGTATATTAAAGATTTACGTGATGATCCGAAAAAAGATGAAGTCATTATCTCCCATTTATGGAAAGATGCCACCACTCACGCTGAAAAAATATGTTCTGGTATTAGTGAAGCTGGCATGACTAGGCCTTCAGGTATCTCTACGAGATATAATGATTACCTTAATGCATTAGATAGGATTGCGGGTTCTACTCGTTCGAAATTATCAGATTTACTTTCAAAATTGTCTAAGCTTAATGTGGATTATAGAAATGTGATATACGAATTAATTGTGCATGCACAGAAATACAAGCCTGATATTACGATTTTGGAAGAATATATATTTCGATTTAATATGGAATTGGAGTGTGAGATATTAATAGTTTTCCGGAATACATGGTACGAGGTAATTGGCCTTAAGATTGCACGTCTTCAAGCATTATCTATTATGTAGAACAGTAAAAAAGACAACCCATTGGAAGCAGATATTGACGAGATTGTTGATCTATACTGTTAGGTATTCTTGATTAGAATTGCGATACCCTACCAAGGTACTTATACACTAATAATAATATTTTTTCGTGTAATAAAAATATCCAAGTTCAAATAGATTCACCAATAACTATAGTCATAATTCCTCGATGCTTGCAGTATATCACGACACCCCCCACTATACGTGTTGCCCAAATCCCAAATTACTAGTATTTGGGATTTGGGATTTGGGATTTTGGCAAAAAATACTAATCATAATTTGGGATTTGGGATTTGGGATTTCGGCATTTGGGATTTCGGCATTTGGATTTTGAATTTGGGTGGCAGGTATACCCCCCACAGACCATCCAAGGATATTCGAGGTTTAAAGACGCCGATTGATTATAGTTCTTTTTCCCATGAGCAGTAATCCGATAATTTGGATATTGTTTCATCAAATCTCCTATACTCACATTCTCATTCTTTGCCACGTATACTTTATGAATACCATCTATCATAACTTTTATCGCATTCTTATCATACATATTAGAAGGCTCTGGTTCGAGGGTAATGGTATCCGATTTCTTAAACTTATGGCCACTGAAAAATCTCATCCCTACAACCATAAAGGAATGTGTAACAAGCCCGGGGGTGTCTCTTTGAGGCATGCAATCTGTATATAAAGGTGATGATATTTCCTTACAACTACAACAAGTATTAGTCATAATTAAAAACTATTATATTTTCTGTATATGAATAATATCCAAGTTCAAATAGATAGTCTTGGTTATTCGATCCACATACTCCGCAACCAATTACTTTTTTTACCTATGCCCCATGTGCGTCTAAATACCACGAACCATATAACAGCAATAATCAATAAGATAAGTAATATATATGCTAATAATGGTGTCATTAAACCACTTGTCACAATGGGAAGAGGCGGAGCCTCGAGACTAGGTCTCATCTCTTCTATCCCTCTCATCAAAATCTGAGGATGTGTGTCCTCTGGGGGTGTATTGGGTGATATATCAGGTACTACTTCATCATGAACCGGTACAATATGTGCTTTAACACTAACTCCGTTATTATCGATTTTTTCAGTCTCATCAATACTTTTTCTGCGTGCTAGATATGGCCTGAGACTTTTATTATCTTTATTAATTGCAAAACTATTAGATGCGAAAGCATCCTTACTCTGTGAGTCAAACTTGGTTATATTTTTTTCTTCGTTCCCACCAATAATGGATGAGGCATAGCCTCGAATCACTGATTCCTCTGATATAGCCTTCGCTTTCAGACATTCAAGTTCACTAACCGCTGAAGCTAACTTCCATTTCACTTTAGCCAATTTAGACCTGATGGATAGTAACTCAGATTCTTTCTTTGATGAACTGGCCTGAATCAAAAATGCATCTCTCTGAGCTGAAGCTAACTTATCTTTTAATATCTCGTTCATAGCTTGAAGCGATTTAATTTCTTTCAATTGGGTATCATACTTAGCTTTGTATTCGGCATGGGATATCTGTGATTAGGAGATCCGGGATGTAAGGTTAGTATTTTCAATCTTCAACCACTTAGTCTCACCAATAAGTTCTAAAGTGTGGGTGTGTAACTTTTGTTTTCCACTATTAATATTATCAACTACACTCCTCCACTGTTTTCTTTTCCAATCCCACCCCTTTCTTTCTCAATTAAAATCTTTCACCTGCTTTAAGTATTTATTCTGTAATTTCTCGTTAAGGTTATTAACTTTGATCTTGGATTTGAGAGCAGTATACAATTTTTCTTCCAACTCTCGCTCACGCACATTAGTCATATTTTTGAATTGACTGTATACAAGTATTAATAAAACTAGTATTGTTAATAATTTCTATTATCATCTAACGATATTTAATGTTAGATATCATAGACTATTAAAAAAATATATTAGATATCATTTTTTCTCGTATATCCAAAAAAAGATTCTATATAGCAAAAATCTATTAACTATATATATCTGGCTTCGAACACATAAATGAGAAGGTGGGATATTATTTTTATTGTTCCATAATAATAGATATCATTTTTTATTATTCTAAAATATTAAATATCATTTTTTATTATTCTAAAATATTAAATATCATTTTAATTGTTTGATAAAAAAAATAAACTATGAATACACCATTTCTAAAATCATATTATCGCCGAAAATCTACATATCTAACTTCTGAGCAGATAGGAATAATTAGATCACTCAAAGATAAGGTACCTAAATATAGAATTATGAGAGATTTCCATATTAATGAACATCGAGTAGATGATATATGGGAAGATCGAGAATGTCAGCAACAAATAATACAAAGTACCATTTCCACTGAAATATTATCTATATCAGTAATCTCACCTGAACATTCTAATCAAATCAAAAACGAGGTTTTATTGCAAAGCAAGCTTTTAGACGATTCTCCGAATCATAGTTCTCCAAACCTACATCTGAAATCTACTATTCCCTCTAATACAAAGATAAAAAAGAGAAGTTCTAAATCTCGGTCTAAATCCATTCGCATATCCGATCCAATATCTGATGACTCTATAAAAACAATTAGTAGCGAGGATCTGGGTGCATTATATGAAAAAGATGCTAGAAGAAATGAGAAAAATATAACGAATATGACTCGTCTATTAGGTACTTAATTTATCTTTTATTTATCATTGTTATCATTTCTGGAGGAGATATGTTCGAGTAACTTTTCATAATGCATTTGTAACTTTCACAAAGATTATTTATTTCAGCTTTAGACTCAAGAGTAGTATATAGTAATTTTTCCAGTTCTTCATAGTTCATGCGTTTTTTTTTAAAGTCGAATTATCAGAATCTAATCTAAAACCTTCAGGAGCGTGCCATTCCTCCAATAGTATATTGTTATCCTCACTCCCATCTGTCTCCTGTGAAATTTGATCGGATACCAGAGACTTAACATCCTGAGATGCAGTTACACAGTTCACTTCGAGCTTATTTTTGACTGGATGCATATTAACTAGAATGAAATGTTCCTTACTATTGCATACAAGTCTCAACACACGCTTTGATGCAAGTAAATCATAATCATATTTATCGAGCAATGTATTAGGTAGAATTAACATTAGTTTGCGATACTTAACGACTGCAAAATCAGAATGTATGGTGCAACCTGGGACAAAAGTCACAGGAACATTACGAACGATCCCAATAGATTCAGTATGGGTGGTAGCAATTCCACTGAGATCGTGTTTTTCTTTTGTATCAATTACTAACTTGGCACGTTTAGCAATATCCTTGGTCATAATTGGAAAATTAGCACAAGAATCAAGACCAGCAGCAAAAATTATTAAACGTTTGATTTTACATTCTGCAGTTGCAATATCTGTAGCTGGATCCCTTCTCTGAACAAAATTGATTTCCATAGGATCCTCCAAAGTCTCCTCCTCCCCATCTGATTCGGGTATTTCTGGAATGAGCTCGCAATAAATATTATCTTGAATGGGAGGTAACTTTTCTACATGAGCAGGCCTTATGGAACTAAATTTAAGTTCAAAGCTTTGTAACAGGTGTGGGGGTATGATTTCATTAAGTTCACTTCAAATGATCTTACGAATAGTTTGTTCTAAAATTGTTTGTTTGCTTTGGCTTTCCTTGTAGGACTTAAATGGGGAAACCTGAAATTTTGTTTCCTCTTTTTTAACCTTGGATTGTTTGAATTTTAATGAAGATGATTTGTCAGAATTTTTCTTACGGGTCACTTTTTTTTTGATTTAGAAAGGTGTACATCAAAACTATGATCGGATTCAGCTTCAGATTCTTCAGAACTTGAGCCCGACCCAGAACCACTACCAGAAGAATCATTCTCTGAGTCTGAACTATTATTTTTATTGATATGGTTAACACGGGCTTTTTGTCTACTTTTTTTCTTTTTAGGACAAGTACGGGAGGTGTGGCCCGCCTTATTACAAATGGAACATCTGCGTAGAGATTTCTTGATAACTTTTGAAGTTTTAACCAGATTTAATGATAATTCTGCTATACCTTTTGTAATCGCATCTATATCATCACTACTTGAAGAGTTATTCTTTTTTCCCTTGCTGGAGACAATTACTTCGTGGTTAGAGAGACGACTAGAAATATCCTCCATTACATCTTAAGATTCTGAAAAAAGAAGGATCATAATCCATATTATTCGAGTATAAATTTGGATCAGAGCGTATTTTGTTAGACTCACTCTTTTGATTCTCTAATGAAGCAACTGCAGTTTGAATTTTTCTATCTATTTCTTCGGAGGTAATTAAAGCTGAAACTGTATTTGATGGTTGCTCGCTAACAGTTGAAACTTGAGAGATTGGACCCCATAATTAGGTGAAGGCTGACGTTCAAGCCACATATTTTTAAGTGAAGAAAAGAAAGCATTAATATCTATAGGATTATCACTTCTCATCTAAGTATAAAGATCACCTGTTAAATGTCCTTTGAGAAGTCCTAAAATATTGGCGTCGTCATTAGCAACTCCTAATAAAAAAGAACGAATTCTGATCTCATAAGTTTCTGGAGTATCGAAGGGTAAAAATTTTTCTTGAGTTAATCTTTGAGTAGCGACTTGTTACGTTCCAACAGTTTCTGTTTAATATTTGTGTCATAGCCAGACAATAAAATGAGCTGGAGTATCAATATCGTTGCCACCGTGTTGGGTGGGTATATCTGTATATTTTCCAGTCATCTTGCTTTTCAAAATTTCTGTTCTAAGTGCATCATCGAAGGCGACCGCTGTAATTGATGGTAATGTTAATATTTTATTAATACCTTGATACCATTCATCTGGTGGAATTTGTTCACTATAATTTTTAAAATTCGCAATCAATGGTGAAATACTAGTTAAGTCACCTGCAACAGTTGCCATATTTAATGGATTATTCTGAAAATGTAAAATTTGTCCTTGTAAATTCAAAATTAATTGCTCAGCATTCTGTGTTGTATTTTTCCACTTGCCCCACTTGATATTAAGTTGAGTATCACTCAAAAATAAATCATTTTGAGCTGTAGTCAGTTGTAATTGTAAATTCTGGCCATGGTTATGACAAGTTATTAATCGTCTATTGTATCGCTGAATCAATAACTGGAAAGCAAATTTTTCTCTCAGCAGTTCTACATTACGCCTATTTCGAGCTCGAATAGTTAGACGCCCATAAAAGTTATGCGAATTGGTAAGAGTGTATCTGCATCTATAATGCCGTGCTCTATTATTTGCATCTTTTCATAATGCATACCCTCTATTCATAAGAATTAAGCATCTAACTCATAGGGCAATAATCATTAAACCAGCTATACGCATCTCCTCTTTTAAAATGGTATTCTCATCTTCCAAATCTAATTGATCCACACCTTCATAAGCTATATTTTCATGGATCCCTCTAAGAGTTTCTTCGTGCTGAAAACATTCTGTTCTGTACCGATCTCTTTCATCTAGAACCGTATCATAGCAACCCTGTAACTGATTGGCCCTTTGATACCAATTTTAGGCTTCATTACCCAATTCGTCTATCCGGTCTCTCTGCTCATTTATAGTTGTTTGGAGACGCCTCACTTCATTCTCATATTCTTGAGCTAACCTTTCTCAAAGCTGATTATTTTCACGCTCATATATGTGTATACGTGTTGCCCAAATCCCAAATCATTTGGGATTTGGGATGCCAAAATCCCAAATTACTAGTATTTGGGATT